TGGCGCCTGTATTAGGCGCAATTTCACGCCCTGAATTCAGTGATTCTCAAACGTTTTTGTCCCTGTAGGTCCTAAACGCCCAAAACTGTGGAGCTGTTGGTGCACTGCTATATTCTGATCCAGCGGACTACTCTCCACAAGGGATGGAGGAAACGTTCCCAAAGACATGGTGGCTTCCAGGAACTGGTACCCAGAGAGGAACCATTGGCTTAGCAGATGGTGATCCTTTGACCCCTCTCCTGCCATCAATAGACGGCATTTACAGACTAGCCATCAACGACACCGACGCCATACCGAAAATTCCTGCACAAGTGTTAACGTATGATAATGCTGTCGAATTTTTGAAGCGTCTTGGAGGTATGATGTCACTTATTTAGTGTCGTCCCCTCAGTGAGGTAGTGACTTAAGCTCTACGTTTGTTGAGGTTTGAAACTTTCGGACCATAATGGAATCATTAGGCACTCCCCTTGAATTGATTTTTTTTAACATCACCTAAAGAAAAGTAGGAAGTAGCAGATTGAAGAGATATGTCCATTTTATTTGTCAGAGGCGTAGGGCAAGATATATTTGAATCATACCTCCTCACACCTTACAATTGGGCTCAAACTCTCCGCCAATAAACTTTCCTATAAAGAAAACTCTTGGCGAGGAAGGGCACAATATAACTCTACATCTTTTTATGTTTAAGGGGGTACTCCTAAGAGGTAACTCCTGATATATAATTTAGCTAAATGATCTACCCAAATCAATCTTCGAAACTCTTTTTTCGCTGAATTTAAATTCTGGGTACTTCACCAAGGTAAACCAGTACCCTCAAGCTGGGCAGGTGGCCTAGGCATCGTCTATAAGTTTGGCCCAGGCTCCCCAGATAGAGACTTGAAAGTGAGACTGGAGGTGAACAACCAGTTCGTTACGTTGCCTGCGTATAACGTCATTGGTACGATCCTTGGAAAAGAAGAGCCCGATCGTTGGGTGCTTATGGGAAATCACCGAGACGCTTGGGTGTTTGGCGGAGTGGATCCTTCAAGTGGGTCAGCGGTTATGATGGAAGTGTCGCGCGGCTTGGGAAAACTACTGAACGAAACTGACTGGCGGCCTAGGAGAACGCTCAAGCTTTGCAGTTGGGGCGCTGAGGAATATGGTCTAATCGGTTCATATGAATGGGTGGAAGAAAACAGAAACATGCTAAGAGACAAAGCAGTCATGTATCTGAATGTTGACTCTGCGGTGAAAGGAAACTACAGCTTTGGAGCAAATGGGAATCCTTCCTTAAAGTCACTTGTTTATCGAGAAACCGCATCTGTGAAGGATCCCAATGAGCGAGAAAAGAGCGCAAGTGTTTATGATCGCTGGTCAAAGAAATATCCTTCCTCATCTCCTGGAAAACCTCAATTTGGAGGTCTAGGCTCTGGATCTGATTATGCACCTTTCAGTCATTTCATTGGAGTATCAAGTATTGACATGAGTTACAGATTTAAGAGCATGAACAGGACCCTATATCCTGTTTATCACACAGTTCATGACACATTCTACTGGCAAAAAACCTTCAACGATCCACATTTCACCACTCACTTGGCGATGTCTCAAATAGGTGCAAGAATTCTGCTCGCGGCTGCTGACACTCCCTTATTTCCTTACAATCTCACGGACTACAAAATAGCTCTGAAACGTAACCTTGATACCTTGGAAACAGTCCACAAATCTGAACTCTTGAAGGGAAATATAACTCTTAATTACCTGGCTCGTGAGGTAGCAGAGTTTTCAAAAACTGCAGACGTCTTCGAGCAAAGAAAGGCTAACGCTAGTGATATCAAGGACTTCACCCAACTGCGTATTCTTAATGATCAGATGATGAACATGGAGCGCGCTTTCATTTGGCCATTCGGACTTCCGGGAAGGACACGAGTTCGCCACGTGCTGTTTGCGCCTCAGATGCACAACATCTATGGTAGTTCTAGCTTCCCAGGAATCACCGATGCCTTGTTCGACATCGACAAGACCAACAACTGGCAACTTGTTAAAGATCAAGTGTCGATCGCCATAACGTGTGTGCGAGAAGCGCGCAAGATTTTGGCCGCGTAGACAACTAGTGTGTGTCCTTTGTTCTCTGAAGTGTTTAACTTTACTCAAGTTAAAACCAAATTCTGAAAAACGATGAACTTTTACTAATAGTGAAGAAACCTGAGATTAGTACACAGCTTTCTCCTTTTTACTATGAAAGAGTGCGCTCATGATTTTCTCATTGCTTGTTGAGGTGAATAATTGGTCTTACTTTTTTGAGCATACCTGTAAGATGTGGTTGAGTGATTAAACTGCAGTGAGATTTAAATTTTGCGTGTGGATACTGTTTTCCTTCATATTCACTCAGTTCTTACATGATGGAATAGCACCATCTGATTTCCTTGAGTCCAGCAGACTAGGCCTCTCTCATATAAGAAAGTCCAACAGTTTTTCTTGAACGGGATTAAATGGTAAGATCGGAAAGACGAATAACTGGTCTGTTTATCTGCACGAACTAAAACAAATCACACATCCCTCTAAAGGTGCAGGTCAAATATGAAAGTCCTCTAGAATATCTTGCGCGTTTTAATTGCCTTATCAGTCCTATATGCACTATTTTTGCGCCCTATTATGGCTAATGCTTAAAGCTTTTCTTCTCAAGTAAGTTTACCTTAAGATAACCCTCCACTGCCCTTTTTAGGTTTACTCTCTACATACGTCTGCAAAGTTTTACGCTGTGTACTTGTTCAGTGTAAGGAGAGACACTGGGGCTCAATTTGCTCAACAAATCAGCACTGTTCCACTACATAAATCCAAAGACGTTTCAGTAATTCCATATGATACCTTACTGTCAGAAATCTTATGTAATTCTCGGGATTTTGGACTGATTAGCATCAAATTGAGATGCACATTATAGTACTTTCTTTCATAAGTCGAACAGTTTTTTCACTCGCTCACATTGAGACTTTCCAAACATACGGGTATCTGTTGACCTCAATATTTGCTCATGCGTAGACGTGTAGCCAGTCTGGAAAACTTCTCGGCTCTTCAAGACTTTGTGGTAAATTCAGTGTTTTCTAACCACTGTTGCAGTCGTCTGGTAAGTACTAAATACCTTTAAATACAAATTGTTTGAGTACTTACGCATAATTTATTGCCCTGAGAGTTAAACGCCGGTAATGATTGAAACAAAAAAATATCCTCTACAGATAAACACGCACTTTGCGACTGATGCTTGACAAGATTGAGGATGAGCTGAACTTTGATAGCCGATGTAATCAATAATCATTCACTATACTTTTTATTGGCAAACCCTATCGGATTAAATTTAAGTCTTAAAGCATACAAAAACAAAAGTGTAAAGGTGTTTATTTTTATGATAATTATCATAATATTTAAAATAAATTTTTAAAATGGTAATAATAATGATAATAAACACGACCAGGTACATAGCTTTTCAATTTTTTTTAAAAGCAACCCAACAAAGTTACATCACAAAGCAAAAATTATTAAATATCATGCAAAGTTGTGTAGATGCCTTTGAAGCGGTTGTTGCCATGTTGATATTATAGTCAGCATTGCAGGCTTTATTGATAATGCTTGTTACAGTTTTTTACATTTGGTTCTTAATTTCCAATTTTTCTAAACAAATCTTAATAACACAAAACACTTTCATAATTTTAATAGAAACTTGGAGGTTTTTCCTTCAAGTCTTGACTTAAATGGTAACATTCCTATTGACTAAATAAATGAAGGGTTTTGTCAGGAGTTATGCACTATGAGCATAATTTTGCAGAACCAAAGTTTCTCTGTGTGTTCCAACAATTTCATGGGTATAATAATCCATCCTTATGAGTTCAGTTTCTACCCTGCAAAATGTTCCACTTAATTATATTGAGGCAGATTGCAGAACAAACTTAAATGCTCCCTAGTATATGCTGGTCACCCTGAACCAGCAAGGCTTAAATAGCTATAGTTTTGAGTGCTCAATGAAAGCTGTTTGACATTGTGGTTTGAGAGCTTTATACATGGGAGACTCTATGAACTTGAAGTTAACTTTAAAGTTCATGCAGTGTCCAGTTGTTCAAGGGCACATAACGTATATAAAATAATTATAAATTGCCATCAAGTGGATAAGTGTTCACAAAACATACTGCACTATCAACTGGACAGTGATTTACCCAGTAGATAATATCCCAGTAGATAATATATTATCCACCCTTTGAACTAGTGGGTCAGATGTACTTAATGAGATTCCCACATTTTGCTTCAAAGAATTTAAATGCAGATGTAACAAATCTAGTGCCTTTGTACTTTTTTAGAAATTCAGGTTTGCTGCATAGTATTACCTTTTTTTTTCTTTTCCTTCTCCTTGAGCAAGAATCCCTGACTCAGTAACTTTCATAATTCTTCACTTTATGTGTCTAAAAGCAATGTTTTCAGTCTTTAAAATATTACCAAGTCTCAAAATTTTAAGATTGCAAAGTGCATTCATTGCATGCATGGGCAAATTATCAAAATATTAAGGAAAAGTGACAGTAAACCATACAAGTCAGTATAGTTACCCTGTATCCTTAGGGGTATTTGGGCCTAGAATATTCTGGTCACAATAAAAAATTAGGTGGTAATCAAATAGCCAGATTACAATAAGCAATTATTGGATGAGGTTGAGCATGATATCAAGAATATCAAAATGTGGGTGTGATGTATCTGCTTAAGCTGAAGGTGCAAGAGCACTACATGGATGAGGGGCTAGGATAACAATCATTGTAATATCCACTTCAGAGATTGGGTTTTCATGTCAATTTCACAGGCTATTGTATATTTATTCCATGTTCTTGACCAATCAGATTTTTCATAGTGAGTGTAATGTTTCGTAATAATATTTATTGTGTAGGTACTCTTAATTTAATAATTTTAAAAATGGGATTTAGCAAAGGCCACTTCAGTAGGTGGGTCTTTTTGTCTACTGTTTCCAGGTCAAATTGGAATTTGGAGTGTTGATATTTGTGGAGGGAGGAAAAGGGAAGGACCCTGACAAAGGACCTTTGGACAAGAAGCAATGATAAACTCAACCCACATGTGATGCCAGGTCCAGGAATTGAAACCAGGCTGCAGTGGGGAGCAAGTGCTATCACCACTGAGCCATCCTTGCTCTCTGAAACTCTAACCCTTTATTAGTCTATGCTCAGATACTTACTCAACTTTACAAGCTATTTACAGAAACTTGGTTGTTTTTACTGCCTCAAACACTCATGCGATCATTTTGAAGTCACCAGCAAGTAAACCTCATGTAGTCAGAAATAGATTCTTCCCTTTGCCTCCAATTTATACCTTGTCTGGGATCAAAATAGTTTTGATTTGTTAGCTGGGTGCCTTTCCTTGAGTCACTGCAATTTATCTTTCACAGTGGCAAGTGCTCCTTGCACTAACAACAACAATAACTTTATTGTACCCTACATCAACTTTTAACAATATGTAACAATTGATGATTAATAATGATAATCAGAGGATACCAGCCAACTAGAGTAACTATTCAGCTAGAAATGGCAGGGAGCTGGATTAAGTTATTATTAATTAAACTTTTATAGCGGAGGTACAGGTATCATATGGTCTATATACACAAACTATACAGACATCACACTCACACAAACAAACAATAATAATAATTATTATAATATTTCACAGTCTTCAAGCCTTGGGGATGGAAATATAAATTCAATTTCCATACTTGATAAGAGCCTTACTCCCGGTTAAAAAGGTAGAAAACTTTGTTACCCAGCTGACCCAGGCAATAAATTGATCAACACAAAGAGCTATATTTTGTTAACACTTTAAATCCCACTAGTGACCTAGACAGAATTTCTCCTTACATTATCAGTTTGATCTCAAGCAGACAAGTAATGAGAATAAAGAAAAATATCAATTAGGGAATTAGTGGTTGATCCAATTCCAAATTCTCCAAACCAACATCACATAAATTGTATGGCAGGCAGTGAGGAGAATTACTAATGAAATCTTGGGAGTTAAAGGTTTAAAATACAGTCGTACTCCTAAAGTGCAGATCAAAACCACTAAATGAAAATGACAACGAGAAGTCTAAAATATCTTGAAAGCACCATTTGAAGACCGGAGTATTAACTTATGATGGCTTAAAATAGAAAAAATTGTTCGTGAATTCCTGACTTTGAAAAAGAAGTATGGCAAACATGTTTAGAGTAAAAACGTGTAAGCATACTTAGCCTTGCAATTGCAGATACAAACGCTAATGGTTACAGGCAGAAGCTTATGACCTACAGGTTATAAGCTTCTGTGACTAACCATAGAACTAAAATCGGGAACCGTTTTCACATCGTGGATTGTCGTGAACGTAGGTGATTGACAAGAACTTGCAATTTGGCAATCTCGCAACTGAGGATAACGAGCTTTTCAGTGACTCTTTGAGTATTTGATTTTATTTTCCAGTTCCGAGCCTTTCGATGCTTCAAATTCAGTTCAAAATATCAAGAAAGAGCGTTGATTGCCACTCAGTTCACTGCTCACTTATTTTAAGCTTTAATTTTTTTGTAATTTTCGGTGGCAGTGGAAGCGTAATAGATAAAAGCTTGATTATGGCATCTCCGTAAACAGCTGGTAACCTTGCCAACCACGCGTAAACCGGGGTGTCCAAACCAATCAAGTGTCGGTCACGTGGTGACTCTGACGTCAAAGCTTCGACAACGCCGTCGACAATTTTATAGGTATGAGGTGAAGGTCGCATTGGAAGAAACAATTTAATACCTAAAAGAAGAACATTGGTAGGCAAATCTATATTTCATAATTCAACGTTTCATCTTTTTTTAACCGTAAAAGTGCTTTCAGCTGAAAGATTAAAGGATCAGTCTAATAGTTTTAAGACCTGCTTCTCAGAGCTGGACATCTCTTATCGGTGTGGTCAAGTGATGCTTAACTTTCCCCAGTCTATGGAGTGTAGCTCTCTTGACAGACCTGGTCGCTAAAATTTTAGACCCTTCCCTATGGCTGGGTCCGTAGGCGAGCTGGATGAAGTTCAGATGTAATGTAAAAGCGTACGAAATCTCTATTTGAAATGTGTTTTTTTTTTAATCTAATTTTCATAATGATGCTGTTCTGTTCTGTGCATACTACCGCGACTGAAATGAATAAACTCACATAAAATTGTCTCAAAGAGCCCCTTTAAACTCCCTTTTACTCAGCACCTCTATTCATAGATGTAGAAATACTCTTTATTGATTCGGTAGTATGGAAGGTCTTAACCCAGTCAGTACTTAATCTCTATTTCTACTGACGTGCGCCTCCTATATATTTTTTCATATGCATGCAGAAGGAGAAGAAAGCTGGAGATTTTGTACCACTGCAGTTCTGCAATAGATGCTATTGTTACCTTTTTCCATATACTCTTGTTTTAGTTCATCATTCAATCCATTCCAGCCTTCTTGGAGCTGTCTCTGTACTAAGCGTGCGCTAGTAATTTCAGTACGGAATCCACCGGGTTCCACAATGCTAACTTTTATTCCCCAAGGATTCATCTCTCGTCTGAGAGCGTCTGAAAATGCTTGCACACCGTACTTTGTTACTGTGTAAGATCCTACTAGTGTAAGGGATACTCGACCTGTTGAGTGGATGGACAAAGAGTCCGATTATTAACTTTAGTTTTAAGTCAATTGTTGGAAATGATGCACTAGCGAAAGGAACGTTGGAAAGTTAAAATAGAACGATTGCCACGCAGATTTACACACCTGGAAGCAAACCAGAAACGAGATACATCATTACATTCAGAGAGCTGCTGATAGTTTACTCGTGCCACTTGTCAAACGCAGACCTGGAGAGGATCCGTTCCCGGAAATGTTTACTCACATATTAAAGTATTTCGATACCTTGGTTTTGGAGCAGCAAGAACGGTAGGGATGTGGGAATAGGGAAGTGGGGTGTTTCCCCTAGATCTCCCACCCGACTTACCGAGAACGCTTGAGAAATTTACAACTCGTCCCTGGGCTCTTTTCACCAGCGGTAGAAAAGTTTTAGTGACGTCAATCGTCCCCCAAAGATTAACATCGGCGGTGCGTTTAAAATGTTCCAGTGGTGTCCATTCGATGGGACCCAGATAGGCGATTCCAGCATTATTTACGAGGCCCCACAATCCTAGCGATAGAGAAACAAGAAAGATAATACAGAGACCGTTTGGTGACTCTTTTAAGTCAGCACTACTTTGCGCAGGTCCAACAAACAAACATTATTATCTCAGCCCTCTAAGAAGAAAAATTAGTGGGGATACATTACCATTTTCACACACTCTTGTGCAAAAAGGTGGAAATGAGATTGAAGGAAATTTTCATCAAGGTGAAATTGTCTGAAACAACACTGAGTAAATGTTCAGCTTGGTAAGGAAATTTACGTGTAACTTAATGTACAACTCGGATTTAGTTGTCCTGCAGTGCACCCCCCTCCCCACACCCCAGCTTTCAATTTTTTGTCACGCGTCGCCTGTTTTTCTACGTCACAAGAATCGTATCAAATATCCGGTCGCGTCACGCTATTTCGCTGAGCACACGAATGGGTTATTAGAATCACTTTATACTACGATGTGGCTCATTTTATTCGTCAATTCTCTGTTATATCTATGGATTTAGGAAATTAACATCAAGCGTGAGCACTCAGTGATCATTTTCTAATTAAACTTACTTTGATCAATCAAGCGCCCAGCGTTACGTGTAATGTTGGATTCGTGCTCTTCATAAATATCATTTGATAGTGGCAGTTGGTACATTCAAGATACTGACCATTTTAAGTAAATGTATCTTTTCACCTTTTTAATTCTGCTAAGATTTATTAATAGAGTAAATTATCGGGACGTGATGCAGGGATTCTAGGAATACAAACGCGCGATAATCATATTTTACGTCGCTTAAAGCATTCAAACATTTGTTTTTCACGGTCGAATTCATCCATCTGATGTATATATTTGCATCAATTTGCAACTCTTTATGCAGTGGCACATCCATGAAAACACGAGAAGTCCTTCATTTCACAACTGTGATCGAAATAAATAATTTTTAAGGAAATTTAGTGATTTTATCTTATTAGTACTTGGTTTTCAAGAACACTTCCCGGGCCTTCAACCGCATTAAACTGGTACATTGGTTTGAAGAGCAAGCTTACCTGTGTTATAAGGAATATATCTTTCAACTTCTTCGTAGACCTCCTTAATTTGTTGCGAACTAGTCACATCCATTTGGAAAGTTTTCAATCTATCGCTCGCCACAGATTTCAAACTTTGTTCACCTTCTTTCGTTAAACAAGTCGCCAACACACAAGCCCCCATCTTATCCAGTCGAACGGCTGTCTCTTGACCGAAACCGGAATCGCAACCCGTAATTAAAACAAATTTGTCTTTAACATCAACTTTCGAACGCGGAATCAGTCGCCTTAAAAAGCTCATTGCGGTAATTCACAGATACAAACGTGGCGATGTTGTCGTGACTAGTGAACGAAGCACGAAGCTCTCTCGTGAGTTTGTCACGCTACGCTCGATTATACTGGGGGTAGAGGTAGCAGCGTGACAGAGCATTCAGTGAAAGCAAAAAGCAAATAATCGTATATTATAATCATATCAACAACAATGATGATAATGGTAACAGTGATGATAATTAATAGGAGGCTAACTCAAGAAACCTCACTGTTTCTTTGTCGGTCTATCCTCAAGGCTCCAATAATGATTAAATTATGCTTCTTTTGATTTTGCCTGTTGATTATAAATTATTTTCCTTTTTCATTGCAATTTCATTTTTGTGAGACTTATGTTTCATAAAACGAGGTACTTCACCATTCCACCGTTCCATCATTCCGTCGAATAGGGTCACCCTGTTAAACTTCGGACCTTGCTCGCTTCTCAAATATAGCGGCTCTTTTGGGCACTAGTCGCTAATTCAAATGATAAAATACTCTCTCTTCGAATTAAACAACATTTTTCTTCAAAGTTTCCACGATGTGCATATCACACTTATTCATTTATTTCCGCAAGGAGTCTTGTCTTCAACGTGCCGAAGACGCGACTGAGAAATTATTTTGAGGTGTTTGTAGTGTCACGACAAGAACTGATACTACAACGTGTCAGTGGCTATAAGCCAGAAATTGCAGAAGGAGAGAACTCAATTGTGTATCGAGTGCGAATATCGAAGTACTAAGATACTTCGAAACAAACAATAAGTATCACCGGGAAACATCGGGTCAAAATTGGGTCAAGATCGCAATTCTATTGTTAGCATCACTCACTCGTTTCGACGACATATGAGGCCTCGCCTCCTATTGGACGCAGTTGCCACTAAACTGAACCGGCCAGAGATGTCAGAGATAAGGATTAGATTCGCAAGTCCTGTTTTATAAAATCACAGAGATTACTGAATTCAGTAAATTTAAGAAGTCTTACTAAACCTACATGCACTAGAAATGATCAGGTCACCTGACGAATAACGATACTCGCAAAAAGAACCTAACTAATGAGAGGAGGTTGTTGCAGTTGTCGCACAGTATGTCCCGCTGTCTTATGTTCTCTGCAGATATACGATTATGCGACTGTGCTGTTACTAGCTAATATATATACATAACAAGAGGTCGAAAATTAACAACGAAAATGGTTTTTCAAAATATCGAGTTTACGAAGTTAGTTTTAAAGAGGATTTTTTTCCGTGAACAGAAATAACACTAGTACACTGTGATTACAAGGCTTCAGGTGTTTCAAGTCCTATTACATGAGTAATGATCACGAAAGCGTCGCTTTCCTAACGTCCTTCTTATCTAAAATAGCAGTGTCCAGTTTTTGCATCACCATAAAGGAATAAAGTTATCCTTCTTATTGCACTGGGGAGTCTCCGGAAATAAATTTACACGAGTCCCACCTCTTACTGATTGGAACAACCATTGCGATAACTTGCCAATATCTGACGTAACACATGGTTCCATTCCCGGATTATTTTCCCTCTTGGAGGCCGTGCTGTGATACTTCCAGACTCGCTTAGCTTTGTACCTACAGCAAGCAGCAGTCCACATGTGTTTTGGCACATTCACCCGGTAAACATTGTCCATGTAGTCGCTGAATCCTTTTTTGCCAAAATATCGATGTTTAAGTGGACTAAATACTGTCGATGGCATGGCGCCAACCACTATGAATAATTGAACTTGCGTTGCTCCTTTTACTTTCGCACAATTCTGAGTTCCCCACATTAGCAAGCGTCTCTCACAGACTTGCCAAGGATGGGAGTTAAACAATCCAAACTGAGGGACAGCATTGGTGTAAGTAAAAGTTGCTGCTTTCTTTTTTGGATTTTTACGGCCGTACTGTGAGGCAATCAAGTGCCCGCGGTGTATTATTGTTTTGACCAACGATCCTCTAGGACAGTCTTGAGTACGGAAACGGCTTTTGTGTCCACTTGAAATAACCCAGTCTTTGTCAACGAGGTACCTGTCTCCTCTCCTCGTTACATAGCAAAGCTCTCGGTTTATTGCTCGAAGATAATCTTTACCTACTTGCTGAAATTTTAGAGAGAGCCATTTTAGACTGCTTCTTCTAAAATTAGCGGGCGGTCGACGCCCGAAGTCACGTCCTAATAATTGGGCGCCTGTAATTACCGTGGCCGCGAAGAGAGGAATTCGGTTGTTGCAGTCATAGAGAATTGCAACTGCACCAACTTCACAGAGATACGCCAAGTTTTGGTGTCCTCCATCGACAAGCCCGAACTGATCCACACCGGTTGGCAAGTATTGAGCCCAAGTGGACTTTGGTTTTCCATCTTCGTCACAGGCCTCCATTAGATTGCACTGGCAGCCAGCTATTCCATTGATGCCAATCGTACTACACTGCTGGCCGGCTATTTCATGCAGAAGGTACTCGATCACCAAAAGGAGAAGCAAACTCGCAGTGGATTCCACCATGATTTTCCGCTTTCGGAATTTAAAGTTGACCTGCCAAATTAACCTTTTTAATGAAAACATCGAGTATCCGTGCCAAAAAAAAATCAGATTTAAGTAAACAGGTACACCTCTAAGTGCTGCATTCCATCGACTAAGTTTTAGAGAATCATTTATTGCTGCTGACGGCGAGACACCCATTTGAAGGAAAGATTTCTGAATTTTAGATTTCTATGGTCGTAAAAGAGAGGTTTGTCAAGAAACATGCAGTGTCCAGTTATAGAGCGGAAGAAATTTTATCTCATTTTCCTTTTTTAAGTTTAACTTGCGGGATACGATTGTAGAGGACATTCATATCATTGCATACATCACACACTGACCGACCACGGTACGTTATAGTTATAGCGAGAAATATTATGATATAAATTCTTCCTTTAAGATCAGTGCATTTTCACATAACACATTCATAATTAAACTGTTGATTTCGACTGATTGCCACTTTCTATGACCCTAGAGATACTCCCTCCTCTGACAGCAAAATCTTGCCTCCTTGTTACATTAGTTACCTTCTGCAATAATGGCGATAAAGGTCGCCATCTAGTTTTCAAGTTCAAGTTCCTCCATCAAATCTGAAAACTTATGAAGACCGAGCATTCTCTGTAGGTGCCCCCAAGTTGTTAGTATCTTTAAGTCATCTCTGAAAACTTATCTTTATAAACGATATTTTATATCTTAGGTTATTTTAAGTTTCATTATTACTATCATTATTATTATTATTATTATTATTATTATTATTTTAATTCTTATTATCGTGAAGTGCTTTAGAACTTTTGTATAAAGCGCCACATAAATAATTTTATTATTATTATTATTATTATTTTAATTCTTATTATCGTGAAGCGCTTTAGAACTTTTGTATAAAGCGCTACATAAATAATTTTATTATTATAATCATCATTATTATTATAATTATTATTATTATTATTGTTATCAACGCAGCAGAATTGGATCCACTAAATCCAAAAATAAGGAGAGCTTGAGGGTGGGCAGAGACCCTCCTGTTTAAAATACGATCAAGTTAAGATCCCAAATTAAATCCCCTTCGCCCATCAGTCCAAATTACTGTTGTCCTTTTGATTACGTTGCCAATCGGATACTAATCATTCTGTTGCTTGTGACACCTGACAAAATCTCCAATATATTTTGAGGCAAACTGAGGGTAGATTTGTGGAAGATACTGCCTTGCGTGACGCAACAACCAGTGAAGACCAATGCACTAGGTAAGAAGTAGTTTATTAAGGAATTTATTGTTATGATATGAAACATTCATATTTGTTATAGCCAGTCAACAAGGGAGAATCCAGGAAATTTGCTAAGCTACTAAGCTTATTAATTGTGATTGATTGTCGGACCAATGTCAAGCGAGTTATCATACGCACATAGCTCATTGCCCGACTTAGAGTCTTAGAGGTCAATAGACAAATGTATTAGTACTCCCTCTTTACGACTCTGAAGTAAAACTGAAGGAATCAAAAAATTCATTTCGGTACTCTTCAGTGTCATCGTGTTTAGAAATGCAGGAAGATGCCTAGACTAATTGATACTGAAATGCTTTCCTCGGCGAGTTGTGGTATTACTGCAGAAGGACTTATTGTTGCGCTAAGGATTGTTTACAAATGCAGGAATTGATCCACTATCCTCTACAAATCTATCGGGACAAACGTGTTTTATTTCTGACTTGCGCAACTGAATCATCGCATCATCAACGGAGAAGTTTAGTTATAGCCTACATGCAGACGTCTCCTATATCCTATATAGGAGAGGTTTGTACGCAGTATTAGTCCGGCTGGCCATTAAGTTCTAACTAATGAAAACTTGCAGTCTCAAATCTTAGCTGTTGACAGCCTACCTAATTCCCTAATGCTTCATACAGGAATTTAACATATGCGAAGAAACCTACTTATAGATATAAATTGGTTAAATTATTTGTCTTGTACAAATACCGCTTGGAATGAAAAATCATATCGAATATTTTTTATATCTTTAGCTAAAAACAGAGAACACTTCAGGCTCCTTGAGGAACTCCACGTATAAGCGTCGCACTCCAGTTCATCCAGACATTGCCGCCGACAACGTCGACTATCATGTCTGGTGGCTTTATATGCATACCCTCGAAAGCTTGCCTTTTCTAGCGAGAGGACCTTTTTGTTGGTTGCCAGTTGTGATAAGAAAACTATAATTTGGCTTCCTTTTCGGTTTACCACTTTACCATCGACATCACCTTTGAAAAAACTGCAAATGGTTGAAGTAAAATTACGGAATTCAATCGCCACGCAGTCTGCATCATCCAGACAAATCTCTTCACAAGTGACTTTGTCTACGTCACGGATGTATTTGTAACCTGAAAAGCCAAGAACAATAGTGGACAATGAGAAACAAAGAGTAAAAACGCACCGTGAGAACGACGTAAAAAGGCTTAGTTCTCATGGATGCGATAAGACACGTGAATCATAGCAATACACCACCTGCTGTAAAGGAAAGAATTGACTTGAGAGCCACAGAAATTGTCTGAAAGTTTTAATAGTCAAGAAAAATAGTGGACAATGAGAACCAAAGAGTGAAAACCGTGAGAACGACGTAAAAAGGCTCAGTTCTCATGGATGCGATAAGACACATGAATCATAGCAGTACACCACCACCTGTTGCAAATGAATGAATTGACTTGCGAGTCACAGAAATTGTCTGCAAGTTTTAATAATTTCAATAGGAAAAAGTATTTGAAGTGTTGTAAGAGACTGTACTCTTAATTCGTTCGACGCATAATTACTGAATTAATAGTTTGTGGTGCGTAGGAAAAAAGGCAACCTGAATTTAACGATAAAAAGAGAAGTGAAGATTAAAAGGGAGTGGTAACGTGGATTTAAAACAGCAAAGACGTTTCCGCACCTTTACGTGTAAATCCAATATCAGTTCCTTCAACGTTGTAGTTGTTCTCACACGAAGAGACTTTCCCTTGCATTTTTAAAACTTGGCAGTATTTATAGGCAGCACTCACCAATTTCATCTTCAAACTACCGTAGTTAACCTCGGGAGAAAGATGTCTGGTAAAATGATCAGTAAAGAGATTCTCTATTCCCGTAAGAGTGTACTTGGTTGGAACAGGGTTCGATTGAACTGACGCTGCCCAAGTCATTGCGTCTCCATTGCTGGGTGGGGAAGACCCAACGGTGATGGTTGTGGTTTGTACATTTTTCAAAAAGTTTGACGCAGCGTTTCTTTGATCGCTGTTCATGGAAAATCCTCCTCCGATGCTGAATAAACCTGAGTAGCTCGCCTGGGCTTCCACGCTGAAAGATGATTTCTTCAGGGCCGTTAGAGCCCCCTGAGTTATCTTGTGGCTTTGGATGAACTTTGCACCAAACGTGACGTCTGAGAAGAAATGAGTTCCTTAGTATTTGACGAACTGTAACACATCTCCATCTGAAGTCCGCGGATCAGCTAGTTTTGTCGCCCACTCAATGAAACCGGGATGGAAAGGCGGAGGTCTCGTGAGGTCAATCTTACTGCGATAGTGCTGGCAATGTGCACTGGAAATAACACGCATATACTCTCCAGACGACATTTCAGCTACATCTCTCCTATAGCTTGCACTAGCAGAGAATTGAAATCCCCAGCCTCCTCCTAAGTGATTGAAATCAAAGACGGCATGATGCTTTAAATACTGTTGCCTATTAATCGAGCATGGCTAACTCCTCTTAATCTTGGATTTAACGTCAGTCCGTCAATGGGAAGACGCTAAATAATTGGCAGACTTCCATCTGGGTTATTTGAGACATCATCAAATATCTAAGGTGCGGCTTTCCTAAAGTATAACAAGTCCGAGTTACAGAGACCCTCAAAACGAAACTAGAATATCGCGACATTTACGTTTATTTCCACCCTTATTGTTACCTAGTGCTTTCTCTAAAAACGTTTTTAGTTCCTATTGTATGTTACAAACACCGCAGTCTATCAAGCTTCAGTGCGCTCGCTGAGATAGGTTGGTAATTAATCATTATGAAAACCAATTGGGTATTATGCAAGGAATTCAGGGAGTAATCTCGCAATTCAAATTTAAGTTCCCGTTTACCTTCCACCTTTGCTGCACCTCCAAGGAGTTTTGACATTTCTTGCTTGTTTCGGACAAGTTTAGATTCAAATGACACCAAGCAAGATTGACATGGGTACGCTATCAGACCCACTGGGATGCTGTAACGACAATCTGCACTTTGTCTAAGTTCAGAATAGTCAGCCCTGAATATTGGGTGCTTAAACCCTGGATCGCATTCGGCATTGGGATCACCGTGCAGGACGTCGTAGCCAAGAAGTGCAAAATCCAGGTCAGGAAAGGTATTTTTCCACTTCGTTCCATTACAGTCTTGAAAATCGTTATAAAAAGTGGCACCTGAAAATTTCATGAAGTGGATTGTGATGCTCTGAGGGAAAGAGGGGGGAAGTAAGAAGAGAAACATTGTGCCATTATGGAAAGTATACCTTATCTTCCATACTTTAAAAAGTTTCTTACCGAAATCAAATACCCCAGGGTTACCTCTCTCTCCTTGACTTAATCATAAATATGAAAGACTTGGCTGTCCTGATCTACACATAATCAATTGATTGTCTTACCTGACGACCCTGGCATATTCGAACCCAGAAC